GGTATTTATATATTTATCTCATTCATTGATTTATGTCAGCTAATGTTATGTATGGCAAAACTGCTATTTTCAACTATTTGAGTGCTTACTACAATATTCATATGGATTTTACAGGCCTCCTCTATAAACTTCTTGAAAAAGCTATGGCGAAATGCGTCGAAGAATGAAAACGTACAGATTTTTGATTGGAACATTTAACAATATGAAATTATATATCATGAATATGTGGACTGATCTTAAAAAGTATATATTGACTGATCCAATTTATTATGAATTTACAATGAAAATAAGTGTTAATTATTGCTATTTTGCACAATATCAATCTGTACGGATTCCTAGAGGTGACATGCTGTTTGTATGTTGAATGGTCCTGTTTTTAGATGTGTGATATGTCGTATATATGCTATCTTTTGTTAATCATGGAACTATGCTATTAAATATGAATTTTACTATACAGGAATGAGTGATGTGACATTATGTCTAACCGCATTGTTTATGAGGCACCTATAAAGCCCCGTCTTTCTCTTCTTTTTGTACTTACGCTGTCTCCGTTTAGTGCTGATCCCTACACTTTTCTTTTTCTTATCTCAAATACTATTTACTATGTAAACATCTCTAAAGGTGCCTTTGTTGTTATTTTGAAGATATGGGTAAAGTTCCTCTTTAAGGGACTTAAATGCATTTTTAAGATTTAATTCCTGAGATGAGTGTCATTTTAAAAATGTATGGGTAGCAAAATCTGTTTACACTGATATCTGAATTGAAAAACCTGTTCTCACTTTGACTTAACTCAAGCCTTGGCCTTCTCATTTCCCCTTGCTGATATGTTGTCAGATTCACCAATCTGCATTTGTTTACACTTAGACACAGAGCTATTACCAATATAATAACATCTGCCAGCCTAGTTTTGTAGTGTAATGACATTCATGTAAGAGAAATGCATGATTTCTTACTAATAAATGACATGTTTAGGAAGAATATATAAAAATTGAATGCTGAAAGGATGAATGTTTGCACAAAGCGGCCTTGCCAATGAGGAATAAAAGAGGGTCACAGATAATGCGTCAGTGCTCTAGCATTCTCCTCCTACATATTATTTATGATCTTGACACACTGCCTTTTAGAAATTGTGAAAATGACACTCAGTCATCAGAAAAATAGAATCATTACCCTGTAGAAAGTGGCCCTGAACTTGCTGTTTATGAAGCTATGTAAACAGACATGCAAAAGTAACTTGTTTTCTATCCTGACTTTGTGTGTGAACAGATTATTATGTGTTGGCTTAAAGGAGGCTTTTACTAAGGAAGAGTGCAGGCTACCATTGCTGACCTCTGCTACTAGAGCAAAATTGTAAAGAAATACTTTGCTGGGCAATGTATATTTGATTGATCTCGATACATTATTGAACAAAATGTTTGAGAGTTTAATACTACTTTAAGTTTGCAGATTTGGCCTTCGGACTTCATTTTGTTTTTACAGTGATAAACAGCCAGCTAACAAGCATTTTCAGCGTCCATCTGAAGTTGGCCATTTTTTTTTCTCTAAAGGTTTGCTTTAATACATGATCTGCCAGGTTCTAAAACAAGCCATGATCATCAGAGTCAGAAAGGCAAGTAAGAGCAGTGTGAAGACTTTAGCGGGCCCAAGCTTTTTTTTTTTTTTAAAAAAAGGCAATCTCAGTGTGTAACAAATGGAGTCAACCCTTTCCCTGCCACTGATATAAGGCTTATGGCGGAACACACCTGTTTCCAGCTGGCCAGCTCAGTAAGCCGTACGTCAATGGCTTTCTCCCTTCTGCTACATGCTCATGGTCACTTTAGAATCAGAATGTTTCCCTCGACGGTCCCCTTTAAAATAATAGCTCATGACTGGAGCCACTCCATGCTTCTCCTTGGATACCCACTGCTCTTCCCCGCCTGCATAGGCTGAGGCGGCGGGGATCCGAGGAGAAATGGCAGGCGAGGGGGCGGAGGAGGGAGCTGATGATTAGGATGGCCGAGCGGCATTGGAGAGCAATGAGCGGGGAGGAGAGAGGAGCTGCTGTCATCCTGTCAGTTTCCGGATGACAGCGGCTGTGTGCGTGGCCGAGTGGGGGATCGATAAATATCTGTGATATTACCGATCCTCTGTGTGAAGGACAAACATTGGAGTGATTAGCTGATCAATCCAATGTTTGTAAATAACTGGAGACACATAGTACTGTGTCCCCAGTTATGAATGAACAGCAAGTGCTTTACATCACTTCCTGTTCATTCATAAGTTTCTCAATGGGGACAAGCACTAACTTCAAAAAGGAAATGTCGGGGATCTGTTTAGACCCATAATATTTCCCCGAAGCCCCCAGCCCCCCCAACAGAATAGAAAATTTAAAAAAATATAGAAAAAAATAATAAAACAAATGTAAAAAAAATAAATAAATAAAACATTTCCCCCTCTCCCCCCACACACATATTATACACGTGCAACAGTGTGCACCATATTGTGGTGTACGTCATAAACATGCACTGCGGTGCATTGTTAGAACGCATCGCAGTACTTGATTTTTTATTTATTTATTTTCAACATAACATTAAATTAACTGTGATAGCGCATGGCAAAGAGCTGTGACGCATTGCCATGCATTGTGATACGCTGTGTTGCGATTAAATGTATGCATGCATCATTTTATCACAACACAAACACCAGCACAGTGCACAAACAAGTTGTTTATTTAGTTTTGCATTCCTTCATTTTTTTACCGTTTCGCAAAAAGGCACAATTTAAAATTTACAAATATTTGTTATTTATTAACTCAATAGTCCTCTCTTCATGTCAGTTTTTTTTCGAGAGGTGAGCGAACCTGGTATGTGTTCGCTCACCTCCCGATCTACTGAGCCGACCTGTGACAGTCTCATTGTCACAGGTCGGCTAGAACTATGAGGTGAGTGGAAATCACTCATCTCATAGTTCTCCTTTAAGTCAGAGTCCTACCATACCAAGCGGCACCCCTGAAGAAGCCAAAAGGCACCCAAGGGTGCCACGGAACACTGGTAGAGATAGGCTGGCCTTAAAAATAGCAGCACTATACTGTCTATAAATGTAAATACATCTGATCAAATGGATGCCAATTCCAACTACACACCATG